CTTGTGCCTTTTATGTTTTGACAAAAATTTTCAAATATATAAAATAATATAATAGATTTTTATAATAATAATAAAAATAAGTGAAAAAGAACTGGAAAATAATGTTCAAAAATTACACCACATGTTTTGGCCTCAAAACATTTCTAATATAGGGTAGAAAAGACATATATAATGATATATGAAGATGCAATGAGTGACCAAGAAAGAATAATATAGAAAGAAAGGGAGATGAAAGAATAATAACAAATAAATTATTAGTATAGAGAGGGAAAGAAGTAGGAATGTATTGTAGAGAGAATATGATGATAGAATGTAAGGGGAAGCTAAGATGTAGAATTTCAAGAAAAATAATGATAGAAGTGGAGTAAAAGCAAGTGAAAAAGTACTAGAAGAATAATATTAAGAAGTTGTGTTTTTTGATGTTTGATATAAAATTTTTCTAATAAAAACATATTGTTGAAGCACAAAAAAAAGGGGTCGAAATAAGATATATAATAATAGGTCTAAGAAAGAATGGGAGAGATGAGGGTATAATAAAACAAAGAATAACGTGTAGGGTAAAGAATTAAATATAAGTATATAAAATTTGAGAAAAAGTTGAGAGATGGAGTCTCAACAAAAATTAATGAAAGGTGGACTAAAGGTAAGTGAAAAATTAAGTACCAAGAGACTAACTAATAAGTTTTGCATGTTTTGTTTTGATTTGAAAATATTTCTAATTATATAGCAGGGAGAGAGAGGAAGCAAAAAAAAGGGTATAAAATGATAGTAAGACATATATGCAATTACTAAATAAGAAAGAATAATAGAGAGGAGAGGATAAGGCATATAAAATTTAGAGTTTCGTAGATCAAATTTGGGGTTTAACTTTTAGTACTTTTGTGAATTAGACAATTTTTTGTAATGAACTATAGCTATAGTTTTTGAAAATTTATAGGTACAGGTTACTGTTATATCTATAATTGCTCTTAATTGTAGGTACAAGGATTTTTTTTTTTTTTTTACCTACACGAAGTCATTTTTATAGATAGACATTTTTTTCCTATAGTATATATAAATATGTAGGTATATTTAGACTATATACATACAAATTAGTAGATTGTATGTATAGATTCCTATACCTATAGAATTGTCAATGTAGGTAAAAAAATAGTGCAGGTATATAGCAAATTTGCTATGGTGGATAAAGAATCATTAAAAAAAAAAAAACATTACTAGTATAGATAAACATTTACAAAGAAATACAAACATGAAGATATGCAAAAAAGTAATGAAAATGTAAAATAATGTGAAAAAATATCAGTTAAAGAAAGAGAAATGAGGGGAGGTAGATGTATTAAGTTAAGCCAAAATTAAAATACATAATAATTACATAAACGTATGATGATAAAATGAACTAGAGAATTGAAATGTGCTTCATTGAGATATATATAGAGAGATGCGTTCTTAATGTAAGAAATTGAAAAGAATATAACATGTGAATAGATAATGATAGGAGGTAATTAAGGAGGAGATGATAAAAGAGAAAATGAATAACATCAAATAATTTACTAATATAAAAAGAAAGAATAGATAGATATGATTGACAAATTTTCATAGTTTATTAATATAGTAACAAATTATGAAAATTTGCTTTATTTTTTAAAATTAAAATGATTAAATTTGTACATTTAAATCTGTTTAAATCTTTTCCCACATTTGCTGTTAAAATATTTTTTTAATAAATAAATTTAAAATGACTAATTATCAAAAAGGAAAAAAAATTAAGATAAATATATTTAGATT